CAAGTGCAAGGTCCCGAGTTCGATCCAAAGTACCAAAAAGAGAAAAAAAAAAAGGGAAAAAAAAATGAAAATGAAATCTATGTAAATAGGGAAGGGCGGAGGGGGGTCAAGGTACACAGGTAATGGGGGAAAAAAAATAAGAACCAAGATATATCATGTACAGGTACAAACACCCAATGATAAATGTAAACGAATTGTATACCTAAAATGTACCATTAAAAGAACTAAAAAAAAAAAGATTTGCTTTTCCCATAACTCCTTGTTTAAGGTGCCAGTTATCTGACTCTTTAAGCAGTAACTTCATTAACCTAACAAAGTTACCATGCCAGGGTGAATTTACAAAATATATGTGCCTATTTTGTGTCTGTGACTTGTAAATAGGAACTGGAATTGTATTTACACATCAAAGACCACTAGGGATGAGATAATGGCTAAAAAGGTATAAAAAGGGAAATGCTGAACAAAGGGGGCACGGATACTGACCAGGCCTGTTTCTGGAGTTCCCGCCCACTCCTGAGAAGAAATTTTATTATTTTATCCGAATTCTGTGTCTCCGTGTATTTCTTTCCGAGATTTCTGTAACAATTAAAAGGTCACTTTCACTGCTTCTGAAATCCCATTTGAGTCTAAACAAACAAATTCATTTCTAACACTTGAAAACTCAGTCACGGAGACCAGCTGGAAAAGGGGAATAAAAATTTTAGGCCTGGGGAAACAAAAATTGATAAATTTATTTTTGGCCTCCAATATGAGTGAGTATTTCTGTTTACTTGATATGCTTAAAATATTTCTTTCTTTTTTTTTTGGTACCGGGGATCGAACTCGGCTCCTTGTGCTTGCACAGCAGGCAGTGAAACCACTGAGCTAAATCCCCGGCTTGACATGAGTTTTTATGCGTAACTAACAGGGGCACCTGGACTGGTCAATAACAAGAAACAGGACACAGCTGCCTCCTTAGACAGTCCTTACCTCGTCTGTGACACTCCATTACTGCTGACTTCATTGTGTATGAAATGTATTTGTTTCCCAAGTGTTCAGGTCTTCAAAGATGCAAAACTGGAAAACATCTCATCAGACCAGCAACTTCCAAGCTAAAGTTATTCATGGTGATAAAATTTTAGGCTCAAGTATCAAGCTTCCCTTTACTTGTTTTCCAGCTACTCGTGGTAAGTTGTACATGCCAATCCAACACAAGACAGTCAACATTGTCATGTGTATGTTGTGTATGTGTTATAACACTCAGAGATGCCCAAACACTGCAGTCCAGGCAATGTCACATAAGATACATTCTTTGATGGCACTGTATTGAAGGATGACAAATTTAAGTAAAAGTTTCTTTGTGTCATTTAGTGATGTCATCATGATTGTTATGCTGAAAGGTGATCTCAAGTTGTCTCAAAGAAGCTTTATAATTGTTCTCCGTTAACATTCTGCAGGGACTTGAGTTCTAAGACAACAATTCCTAACCATGTTGGTAAGGAAATAACAGTGCCCTGGTCACACTCTGTATTTCAAGATGTTTGATAACTAGAGAAGAGAACAGATCTCCTGGGTGTTCAACAACTCAGGTTTGGAGACCAAAGCTAGAAAGATAACTGGGCTAAGAGGACAGTCAATATTTTGGCGCTGGCCGTCCAAGGTCAACCAGGACCCAGTCTACAGGATCCTACAACTTTGGTAAGTCCCCCAACCTTCTGAACAGGGAGACTATTGGACCCCAGAGGACAAGAGTCAACCAATGTACAGTGTGCTAAAAGGAGGGTCTCCAGCCATGCTTCCCTGGGGAAGTCACATGGTCAAGCAAGATGGTGACCCATCCTGGCAGCTGACACTGACAGAGGAGCTGAGAGAATCTATACATAGTTCCAAAAATACTTCCTGGGGAGCCTGACCTTGATAGATAGCAAGAGGTTAATTTTGATTAACACAGGTCTCACTTTAACTTGGTCTTGAACCCAGCAAACAAGTCTAACCCAAACCATAACTAAAGTAATAGCAATTTAGGGTCAACATAAAAGGGGGCTCCAATCGCTGACCCCTGATGACAGTTTCCAGCTGCAGACAGATCTAGAAGCCAACTGGCTACAATTGCTATTCCAGTCCCTTGAGAACAGTGTCTGGATGCAACTCCTTCCCCAGTCTGCATTTTCATTCTGGTGCTAGTGCTTTGGTTGTACATGCTTTAATGTCCTGGTACAGTTCATTTATTCTCACATAAAGACTCCAAAATTCCCAGTAATCCTGCAAATGTAACCAGCGATAAAAGTGTCTAGGATCCATTGGCCCCACACAAAGTCTGCCCAAGGGGACACCTGTACCATGCTTCATACGACTTGCTGTACTTTTATTCCAGATAATCATGATAATGTAACTGTAGCTCTGTGGGAGATAAACCCAGAGCTCCAGGCAGTACAACAAATGTCTCGGGAACCCCAACAGAGTTCATGGGATTCATGGAAGTCCTCTATTCTATCACGAGTTCTTCTTTTTGTAGTGCTTGCTCTCCTCTTTCTCCTTACCTGCTTATTATTGCCCTGCCTAATCAGTCTGTTTCAAAGATTTCTCACCAACAGGACTGTGACCATTTCACAGGTGTTGCTAAAGATCATGTCAACAGGGTCCTAATCAGGAAGAATTGGTTAAGGAAGAGACGTACTGCCTATTTTCCTACCTAACTATGGAGCCAGGAATGAAAAAAGCCAACCACCTCTGACCTTTGATTTCCTTCCCCCTGTTATGTTTTCACACCTGCTGCAGATGTATCATCATGGGTCAGTAAGGCCCAGTGAACACACCCACACCCTAGAATTCCCAGTCATTTTCCAGCCCTGCTTATGACAAACAACACGAAACTGCTTGTACATTCTCAAGCCCTGTCCTGGCTGATGGCCACAACTCCTTTGCACTGAACTCTCCCCATTGAAAGTTCCATTGTGACTTTTTCCTTCCACACCACCCTTTTTTTATCCTTATGACCTATAAAGATCTTATAGCCTGTATGAGAGTTAGCTAGTCTGGTCTCTAGTGCCAGAGCAATCCCTCTCAGGTTTGTTCTGGAATAAACCTGTCCCGTTGTGCTTGTAACTCTGGTTCTTTTCATTTTTTTGTAACAGCATGCACACACCTGTAATTCCAGCACTCAAGAAGATGAGGCAGGAGGACCATCAGCCTGAACTACACAGTGAGACCCCATTTCAACCTTCCTCATTTTCACTTAGGCTTTGGATAGTTTTCCTCCGATGTGCTTACCCATACACATGTACACACACACACACACACACACACACACACACACACACTCACACACAGGCCCAGGTCTCAGACCTTCCCAGGCCTGGTATCTTCACACAGCCCTTACCTGTGCCCTCAGTTCATCTGCAAACACTCACTTTCCATCCTTCTGTGTACACACAGCTGCAAGATTTATATCCACAATGCACAACCCAGCACCTGGAGCCTCTGCAGATGACAGTGGCTTCGTCTAACTTTTCTTCTAGTAGAAACACTTTGCGATCATCCCAGCAATGATTAAGAGCTTCAGGTCTGGAATCAGATGCCTGGAATTTGAGCTTTATCCCTTTGCTAATGGTGTGAATTTTATCTTTTTTTTTTTTGGTACCGGGGATCGAACTCGGATCCTTGCGCTGACGAGGCAGGAGCTGGAACCACTGAGCTACATCCCTGGCCCCAATTGTGTGAATTTTAGAAAGCATATTCACTTATCTGAGCTCAGTTTCTTTGTCTAAGAAATGAGGGGTAAGAAGGGTCCTTTTCTCGCCCAGTACCTGGCAAGATGCTGTTGAGGGTGGGATTTGCTTAGAGATCCCGGCTGCTTCTTGCTTCCTGTTCTCCCATCTCTGCCATAACCCATCCCCTCTCCTGGACAGCTGCCTCCCCTGTTGCTTATTCACACAAGTTCTCTGGAGGGGTGGTGATTTCAGTCACACACACTTTAAGGCTGCATTTAATCTACCTGGACCATTTCTCCGGGACTTGGACTAAGTCCCATTTCTCACCACAGACAGGAGGCTCAGGCCATTAGCTGAGAGGAAGTGCCCCACGGGTGACCACTCCTTATACCCCTGGTGTCCCACCAAATCGATAACCAGTTCCTCTCCGGTCACCCCCCCTTTTCCATTGTTCATTGGCTTGGCGGGGAGCAGAGGATGACGGCACCTGGAGAAGATGCCATAGAAAACATTCCTGCATGACTTCACCTCTGGATCATGCTCTCAAAATTCCAGCCAAATCAGTGCTACCCTTTAAGGAGTGGAAGGAAGGCTGGCATTCCAGAAGTTCCTTGTCATACCCAGGCTTTAATCAGTTGAAATTGAAGAATGAGCGTTCCAGTGTCGAAAGATTCATGGGACCGGGGTGTGTGAGACTGGGGGGCTCTCAGGTGTCTCACACCCTGGCCTATGCGATCTTTCTGGCCTCCTTGGGGAGTAGACCTCGAGTTTGTGCAGGTTCCCTTGGGGAGATCAGCACCACGGACAGCAGCCAGGGCGCTGGCAGCCATTTGGGGAGCACAGAAGTGGGGGGACTCTTACAGGGAGCAAGATGCGCTCTGCGGACGAGCGTTGCCTGGGGCTGTTCTCCCAAGACACCTCGTGCACCCCGAGTGCTGGAGTTCACCTTGCCATTTCCAGCAATGCTTGGAGTGGGGAGGGAAGGGGAAAGCACCACGTTAGGTTCTTTGGGGGGCGGGTTGTTTTTTTCTTAAGGAAAAGAGAAGGCAGGAGACAGGGATGAGTTGGTGTCCCTGAAAACCTCCCCCCAGCCTGGCCCATTTCTATACAAGGCCTGCTCTCCCCAGCTGCCATCCTGTGAGCATTCTGCCACCCCTATGAGGATTCCTTGGAGGCAGGCAGCAGTGAAGCAGTGCATTCTCAGGCCTTGAGCTCAGCAGGCGGGAATGTGGCTGATAAATCAGAGATAAACCCCCACTGAGGGGAAGGGCTGGGGGGGACAACAAGCCCCAAGATAAAAGGCCAAGTTGCAGAGGAGTCAGGAGAGCAGTGGGTAGTGAGAAGGTGGAACAGGAGCCGACAGACAGGACAGCTTCAGCCCCAGCCCATCCTTCCTGCATTATGGGTCCCCAGACAGGCCTGCCCTGGACAATTCTGCTCCTGTTCTTCCTGCACTTGTTACTGGCAGGAGGTCTAGCTCACCCACTGGTCGGGCTCGACCAGGACCAGGCTTCGGATCAATTGGGAACACAGGTGAGCACTGAGGGGCATAAACATGGCCTGTGGGAGGGCTTGGGCAGCAGCACTTACAGGGTTCCTGTTTCCCATCCACTTCCTTGGGAAGCAGTGACAACCTAATTAGAAAGCAGCAAGATTTGGAACCCTTCTGGGAACCAGCAAGGGTGGGTGAGCCCAGGTGTGTTGCTGAGGCCAGGGCTTCCCCACTCACCTCAGGAGCTGTTGCATCATCCTGGAGACGGGGTCTGGGAGACACAGACAGAGCAGATGATCCCAGGCCCGCTCTTACCAGACAGAGAACCTGCAGAATGCTGTCAGGGAAAAGCAGCCCCCAAAAGCAGCCTCCAGGGCTTTAGGGGACTCCAAACGCCCAAGGTGATGCAAGGCTCCAGTTGCTTCGGGAGGAGGATAGATCGGATTGGTTCTGTCAGTGGCCTGGGCTGCAAAGGTAAGCCCCCTCCGGGTCACCCCACCGGTCCACATGCCCCCAAAAGAGTCACTTCTGGGAATGGGCATCATTCCCTCCATACCAAGGGGCAGACTCTCGGGAGGGTGGAGCAGGAAGAGCCCTAAGTGTCATTCCTCCTGGTTCCCTGCAAACCACCTGAAGACTCAAGGCAGAGGGCAGGATCACCAGGGTAACCCCACTTTACAGAGGAGGAATTGGAGTCCCTGAGAGATGGGATATTCCAAGAGCCTCAAATGGGAAGATCAGTTGAGGACTCGGGGGTGGGGGAGGGAGTGCGTATGGTCCAGGGAAGCTCAGGTCCTGCCTCAGTTTCCCCCCTAAGGCCATCATCCCCTTGTCTCTTCTCCCCACAGTGCAGAGGCGTCCTTAGGAGGAAGTCCTGGCCACAGGCATCTGCTTCAGATTCCTCAAGGGCTCCATGCCCAACCTCATGACCTTCTTTGACTTCTATTTATTAATTTATTTTGATTTATATATTTGATTATTTTCTACAAAATGGCTTCTCACCTTTGAGCAAATACTTTCCACAATGAAATAAAATCAACAATACTGCACTTTCTTTTGAAGTGGATTTTTCTCTGTGTAATCAAAACAATCCTTCATTTTGAGGGGGAGGGAAAAAAGAGAAACAAAGAATACGAAACCTTGTGTTTTCTTTTTTTTGGTACCAGGGATCGAACTCAGGACCTTGCACCTGTGAGGCAGTCGGCAGAACCACTGAGCTAAATCCTTGGCCCCCCCTTTTTTTTTTTCGTACCGGGGATTGAACTTGGGTCCTTGTGCCTGTGCAGCAGGCGGCAAAACCACTGAGCTAAATCTCTCGCCCACCTTGTGCTTTCTTGAAGGTCCCAAAGGTGTCCTAGTGGTGAGGTGGGGTGTGGCCTCAAGGCCTGGCCTGGTTGGGTGGCTAGGGATCCCTTCCTTTGGGGGTTTTAATGCCCTGGAGTCTGTCACACCTTGACACTCAGGCACAGAAATTACTTTTCAAAGTGGGCACTTTTTTTTCTTCCTGGGACAGGAACCTGGATGGTGTGTGTCACTGCGTTTGTCCTGCCAAACTTCCCTCCCCTGCAGCCACCATTAGAGAAATCTCTCTGAGGTTACTGTTTGCAGAGCCTAAAATGTCAGCAAGTGGACTGACTCTCTCCCCACCCCTTTCCTTGGCTCCTTTGTACTCCTGGTGTGGGTGAACCCTCTGTCCCGCTTGAAACCTGCAGTTCCTGTGCCTAGTCTGGTGGCTCACACCTGCAATCCCAGCACAGGAGGAACCCGGAAGTTTGAAGCCTGCCTGGGCTACATAGTAAGTTGAAAGCCAACCTGGACTACACAGCAAGGCCTTGTCTACAAAACCCAACCAACCAACCAACAAACAAAAAACAAAACCTGCAATTCCTGATGTCACCCTGAAAGGAACTTTCAAACCCCAACCCACAAGGTTACAGGGGTCTGATGAGGGTCCCTCCCCTGGAACTGCATCATTGCTTCCTCTACACCGCAGCAGAAACAGGAGACACCTCAGAATCCTACCGCATCTAGTGGGGGCACTGCCTTTTCCTCCAGGGACCCCCTCCACATCCTGTGTTCCCCACATAGCCCTGGCCTGGCCGCTGAACCGTCTGTATAATGCTATTTATGGTCAGCTCAGCCATGAGGCCAGTGCTGTTATTATTACCTTACCCCGCTTCTTGCCTTAAAAAGAAATGTAGTTTCCTTATGTAGTTCAGGTTGGCTGTGAATTCACTACGTAGTCCCAGCTGGCCTCAAACTCACCACAATCTTCCTGCCTCAGCCTCTCAAGTGCTGGGATTACAGGCATGTGCCACCATCCCCAGCTCTATTAATCCCATTTGTAAGATGAGAAAACTGAGACCCAGAAAAACAGAGCACCTCCCAAGAGCACACAGCCGATCAGTGCCGGAGCGACTTCCAGCCGGTGCTGCCTGGCCCTTGGGCCGCAGGCTGCTGGTCTTGACCTCTACTCTCCTGGCCTCTCTGGCGGCTCATCCTGTATGCACGTGAAGACAGTGAGTGTCTTCCTGTCACTTCATACCTTCCCACATTGTGCACCAGCTTCTGGGTGGCTAATGAGATGAAATAAAATATTTTAAAATGAGGTTTTAGGAGCGGCTAATTTTCCAAGAGACGTTGAGTCACTGGCCAGTGCTTCTGACCCAAGGAGGGCACTGAGTGGTGAAGCAACTGATGGGGTAAAGGCCTGTTCTGGTTCTAATGCTCCTAAAACTCTAAGACTCCTATTACCTCTCAGCTTCCGGTTGGGGTGGCCAAGACCCAGGGAGGTCCTGGGACTGGCTCACTGTCGTACAGTTAGTAGAGAGCTGGAGCCAGGATTCCATCCAGGTTGGATCCTTAAGCCCTGTCCCACTCAGCCCCAGTCTTTGCTTTTCTTTCTTTTTTTCTTTGAGACAGGGTCTCACTATGTAGTCCAGGCTGGCCTTGAACTCATGGGATCCTCTGGCCTCAGCCTACTGAATGCTGGGATTCTAGGTGTGCACCACCGTGCCTGACTCTGCTCAGCCTTTTCCAACCAAGCCAGTGAGTCAGGCTTGCTGAGGGGAGAGGAGTAGACTATCTTCTCCTAAGAGTCACTGGGTCCTACATTTGGGGCCAGGACCAGGGCGTCGCTCAGGGGAGAGCACTTGCAGAGCATGCACGAGGCCCTGAGTTTGAGCTCCAGCTCCGTAAGAAAAAAGCTTTAGGGGCAGTGCTGCCCTATGTTCCAGTGACAGGGACAGCACATCCCTCCTTCCCAGGACACTTACATCCCAGTGAATCCCTCAGGTCAGCCCTGCTCAGCACAGTCGGCTGATAGAATGTGGATGCGCATCACATTCTGAAGGTCCAGGAAGCATAACCAGGGTGCTCTTCGGGGCCCCTCACTGACTGCCAGGAGCCGAGTTCCTGAGTGGCGCTCCCTGCCCACGGCTGCCCCCAGGAGCCGCCCTCCCTAGCGTGTGCCCTCAGGACTGCGCCCTGGCCCTACCTCCCAGCTTCCAGCTGCAGCTGCCTGGCCCTGTGTTCTGTGTCTCCTCATCTTTCCAGACAGACGCCTCAGTGAAAACAGACAGTGGAGGCTTAATTCTCAGCTCAGAGCTGGACAGACGTTTGCAGGGGCCGGGGCGGTCTGGCCAGGCTGAGCACAGTGTTAGGCGAGCCAGGACAGCCCAGGGCTGGAACGCAGCATTGCAGGCCAGCAGTTCTGCACCTGCCACTCTGGGAATGCTGAGCGCCTCCCCTGCAGCAACTTTAACCTCTGAGATGAACCGGGGAAAGGAAAGGAAGGCTCCTCCTCCTGCAGGGCCCGAGCTAAAACTCAGTCAAGAACTTGGCCACTTGCCTTGTTCACATCATGGCTCACAGCCTCCTGGCCTTCGCCATCTAGGATTTTTCATCCACTGTTCTATTTTAAATAAAGTCTCCTAGCTGGGTATGGTGGCTCATGCCTGTAATCCTGGCACTGTAGGAGGCTAAGGTAGGATTACAAGTTCAAGTCCTGTCCAGGCACTTAGTGAAACCCTTTCTCAGAAAGAAAAAAAAAGGGCCAAGGATTTAGCTCAGTGGTTCCGGTGCCTGCCGAAGAAGCTCAAAGTCCCAAGTTTGATCCCTGGTACCAAAAAAAAAAAGAAAGAGAAGGAGAAGGAGAAGGAGAAGAAGAAGAAGAAGAAAAGAAGAAGAAAAGAAAAGAAATAAGTCCTATGGTACTAAATGACCTTTTTCCCATTGGGTCAGAAGCCAACTCCATACAGCTGGGTGCCCTGGAACATTTCTCTCTTCTCTTTTTTCTTTCTTCTTCTTTTTCTTCTTCTTTTTTTTTTTGTTCTTTTGGTTTTTGAGACAATATGTAGTTCAGGCTGGCCTTGAACTCACTGTGTAGCACAGGCTGGCTTCAAATTCTTGGGGACCCTCCTGCCTCGGCCTTCTGAGTACTGAGATTACAGGTGTGAACTACCCCACGAGGCATGGAACATTTCTAAAACTGAACTCCCCGTCTGCCTCACCACTGCCTCCTGGCCTCCCGTCTCTGACCCTGCATGGCCCATGGCCCTGCCCTTGCTGCTTTGGGATGTGCCAGCCTTCCTCCCATCCCGCAGCTCAGGCTCTGGCATCTGAAGCACCGCAGTCCCCCCTGAGGCAGGCAGGAAGTGCTGGGACTTGATATTAGCTAGGAGCACTTCCCACAATATCTGGACCTGAGGTCCATGTCAGTCATGGGGGTGAGCTTGAAGGCAGATCCATCCCCGGGCAGGCCTTGGGGTGACCAAAGCCCCAGCCAACAACTTCATTGCAGCTGATGGGAGCCTTAAGTGGGAGCCCTAAGGCCACCAGGCTGGCCTCGAACTCAAGATGATCCTCCTGCCTCAGCCTCCCGAGGGCTGGGGTTACAGGCTGCGCCACCACCCTTGGCTCCCTGGCACTTTAGCAAGTGAACTTTGCCTTGTACTTTGTCTGGCACGGACCTTGTCCTCCGCTTCCAGCTCCCAGTGACCACCACATTGCACCCAAGGTACAGAGGATCATTGTCAAAGCCACCAACAGCCATCCTCCCGTGTGCAGCAGCACCAGGCCAGCTTCTCCCGACCTCCCTTGGCTTCTACCCGCTTGGATCTGACACGATCACACCATGAACTCAGTAGGTTGCCGGTTGGTTCTGCACTCTTGTGCAATCACTGGGACACCAAAGCAGCCCTGGGAGAGTCAGACCCCAAATCTGGGGTGGAAGCTGGAAAGACCCGGATCTAGATCCTGAGCCCATTAGCTGGGCTCATTGCCAAGTGCCCAAGATGGTGCCTCAGGGGATGGGAGGGAAGGCTCTGGTTTTCCAGCCTGCAGGAGAGGCGGGGTGGGAGGCCTGGCTTCCTGCACCTTGGCCTTTCTTCCTCTTGCTCCTCCATTCAATAGCAGCAGCTCCGCACACAGCGCCCGCCCGGGGACAGGACTGTGAGGAGAGCACTTCGAGCTGTTTTCCATCCCAGGTGCAAATCAAAGCTCTACAGGATTTGAGGCGGCAGCGCCCTCAAGGATCATCTGTGTCCCTGAGGGCCCTGCTGATGGCGAAGGGAATGGGATTTTGTAGAAAGCCCTTGGGATAGCATCATAGAATACCATTTTCCTCGTTCCTCCACCCCAATAAAAATCCTAGATAGGGCCGGGGATTTAGCTCAGTGGTTTTGCCACCTGCTGCGCAAATGCAAGGACCGGAGTTCGATCCCCAGTACCAAAAAAAAAAAAAAATCCTAGATAACAGGAGAAACTCAGCAAATCGCACACATGTGGCTCTCCAGAGAAAACTGACTTTTATTAGATAAGGTGAGCAGGGTCTGCAAACTCCTCTGGAACCCTGGCCAGGACTTCTGCTCTCCTTGGGCCACCTACAGAGTCAGACGTTGCCTAGGACAGAGGAGCAGCGTCACCCCCTGCAAGGCAGAGCTGTTGCAGTGGGCACCACCTCCAGGATGCCTTTCCAGAAATCTTTGCACCGATCAAAGCCTGTCTCAAAGGGCATCTCCCGGAGACGGCCATGTGACGCACGCAGCATGGAGCCCGAGTCCCCCAGTGTGGCTGCTCTGCATGCTGAGCCTTCTTTGCTAATAATAGACCTGCAGCCAAGCAATTAAACTGTGAGCACATTCCAGGGACACCAGGAGCTGATGCTTTTTGGCCCCAAAGCTCTTACTAAGAATTGTACCAATTTCAGATTTCAAGTTGAATTTGGCCCAAATCAGTTACCTAAACCCATAAGTTTGCTGAATGGGATCCCCTTTTCTTTCCATCTTAGAATACTACCCCCCTGAGCATCTCTTGTGACCAACCTCTGGCCACCTACTGCCCAGACTTCCTGCCTTGGGGCTCCATAAGGCCATCATCATTGGTCAGCATAGGGGATGGCACAGCTGGGCTCGCATCTGACCAGGATGAAACTGGCTGTGCAACACACACATCCGGAGCTTCCCAGGAGTGGACAGAAGCACAGCACAGGGCTAAGGGGCCTCGGCGATTGCACATCACCCCTTCCTGAAGACTGTCAGAAAGGGGAGTGCTAGACAGGCAGTGTGTGTAGGTGCACACCTACAATCCCAGGGCTTGGGAGGTTGAGGCAGGAAGATCACCCCAAATTCAAGGCTACCCTGGCTATATAGTGAGTTCAAGGCCAGCCTGAACTCATAGTGAGATCTTGTCTCAAAGAGAGAGAGAGAGAGAGAGAGAGATCAGCCAAGCAACACAGACTCACCACATGCATCAAGAAAGGGCAGGTGGGGAGCAGCTCAGGGGCTGAGAGGTGGGAATGGGGTGACTCACAGAGGACAGAGACAGAAGTATGTGCGCTAGGGGTCAAGATGTGTCTGTTTGTGTCAGACCTGGGGTTGGGGTCCTCGTTCTGCCACTTACGAGTTCAGGGGCCTTGGGCAAGTGGCATAAACTCACAGTTTCAGGTCTGTCCCTCTATGAACAGGAACAAGAGCCCTGGCTCCTGGGGAGGGGTGAGACCACCCATGTACAGCTCTCAGCGCGGGCCTGGCCATTTCCTGTCACCCATCAAGGAAGCTGGCATCACTGTCCCACAGCTGGGTGTCTCCACTCCTTTGAGCCCCACCGGTGCCCTGGGAGGTGTGAGGGTCTTTTCATTTTCCCCATTTTACAGAGGAGGCCCGATCTGACTGCACCTGGTCTGTCAGGGACCACAGTGCAGGTGTCCCAGTGCTCGAGTTCAGCAGCTCCCAACCCTGTGTACACTGTGTTGAATGTAGGGTGATGCTGAGATCCGAGCTCAGTCAGTGGAGGCCACTTGATATTCCTTCTGAGAGGGGCAGGGAAATTGAGGCCACCATGCTCTGTCATCGCCTGGCCCAAGAGGAGGAGCTGGAAGGCATGAGGGAAACTGCATGCCAGCTTCGTCCCCGTGTCCCTCCTCGCCTCAGCGTTCTCGGTGTGCAAGGCCTCCTGGGAAGGGTGGGGCGGTTGCCAGCTGCAAGCTGAGCCCCAGCGGCTGTGAGCTGCAAGGTGGAGAGAGGGACAGGCAGCATCTTCCATGAGCAGGAGCCATGGAGAACCATGCTGCCTTCCAACTTTCCTTCGTGTTTATGCTTGGGAGCTGGATTCTTGGGACCTGCATCACAATTGCGTCTTTGCTGACTCAATCCTCAAAAATGCAACTCCCTTTCACCCAGCTGCTGACAGGGGCAGTTGGTCCAGGGGTCCGCCCTCAGGGGAGCAGAGCCCGATGAGTCAGGTGTGAAGCCAGCCCCAGCATCTGCACTCCCTCCAGCAGCCAGCTGCCTGCCATCTCCTCCTCTCCTGTCCTTATTTGGAGCCCTTGACAGCTGAGCTACAAACAGACCCGGGAGCTGGGCGCCGGCCAGCCGTCACCCTCTGCTTCCCCGCGTGGGTCCTGTTGCCCAGGAGAAAGAATCCCGCGGCACGGTGGCACTAAGATAACCAAGGACTCTTGCTCTTCTCACACCTTTGAAGTGGGGCCCTCTTGAGGCAAATCAGCAAGAATGTGGCTCTTGCAGCAGAGGGTCTGGGGGCCTGCTGAGACTGCCCAAGGCGGAGGGGCTGTGAAAGCTCTGCTGGACTGATAACTTTAAAAGGGCATCTTCTGCTGTCTACTCACGCTGCCGCTTTATCACTGCAAGTGACACAATGGGGAGGGTTCTAGCCCTCCTGCACTCCCCAAGAGCTGGGGGGCTATAAAAACAGGAGGCGCTGGGCAGCTGGGAGACAGTGACAGAGGAAGGCTGAGAGGGGAGCCAGAGAGGACCGAGAAGAGGCAGCAAGCGCCAGATCGCTTCTTGACCAGAGTCGGCATGGGCTCCTTCTCCATCACTGTGGGCCTCCTCCTCTTCCTTGCATTTCAGCTTCCAGGCCAAGCCCAAGCCAACCCCGTGTACAATGGCATGTCGAACACAGACCTGGTGGATTTCAAGGTAGGGCCAGGAAGGTGGGCACAGCCTGGGGCCGGGGGGCTTTCTGGTACTGGGCCCATTCCTCTTGATTTTCTCAAAGTCAACAAGACCTCTCCCTTCCCCTGTGTTTTCCTTCTGTAAAGAATTTGCTGGACCACCTGGAGGAGAAGATGCCTTTAGAAGATGAAGTGATAATGCCCCAAGTCGCAAGCGAGCAGAACGAAGAAGCGGGGGCCATTCTGAGCGTCCTCCCTGAGGCACCTTCCTGGACTGGGGAGGCCAACCCCGTGCAAAGGGATGGGGGTGCCCTTGGGCGAGGCCCCTGGGACTCCTCCGATAGATCTGCCCTCCTGAAAAGCAAGCTGAGGGCACTGCTCACTGCCCCTCGGAGCCTGCGGAGGTCCAGCTGCTTCGGGGGCAGGATCGACAGGATTGGAACCCAGAGTGGCCTGGGCTGCAACAGCTTCCGGGTAAGAGATGGGGATGGGATGGGAGGAGGAGGAAGAAAATTGTGGTTTTGTTGGGATTCAAGTCTTGCCAAAGACTATGACTAGAATACTGCATCTGGCCGAAAGGGAGCCGTGTGGAGCTTATTCCTTCTGAGATTCTGGCCCCAACCCATGTCTCAGGACAGTGCTCTCAACGCAGCTACCGCCTGTGGAAAGAAAGTACTTTAAAAAAATTACTCCCAACAGCACCGGAGAGTTAAGATGCTCACAGGCCAAGTCATCTTTGCTCTGTTGATCGGCAGTTCGTGTCCCTCCCCACAATCGCCAGATCTTGGAGGAGTTAAGGGAAATCAATGAGGACTGCCCTTCTTGGCTCTAATTCAGAGCTGTTTATCCATATGGGAGACTCAGAGGGTTGTCAGACTTCAGTGGGGGCCAGTGGGACACAGAGAGCCAGGGGACCAATACTGTCCTATGAAGCCGACTTTCCCCATAGGGCCAGGTCACCAAGCCAAATATGCTTTTCTCTTCATAGTACCGAAGATAACAGCCAGGGAAGAAAAGGTTGGCCAGGCCCTGGGAGGAGACCGAAGGAGACCCTCCTCCTCCCCCGGGGTCTCTCCCGAAGTGAGGTCTCCTGTCATTGTCGAGTTGTGATGAGCACCGATTGGAGCTGCCGCCTCCCGCCAGCATTTCTCACGTTGTGCTGCATGTAGCCAAAATGGTTTCATTGTGGTTTTCCCACCTCGCCCACCCCACGCTTTACCGCAGAGCCTCACCTGTTACTGACAGCAGTTGGCAAAATGAATAAATTTCAGCACCACGGACAGAAGCCAGTGGCAAACTCTTGTGATTTCTCTCTCCCAGGTCCCACAGTTCTGGTGATTTTACCCTCTGTGAGAGGAGAACGCTTCGGTTTTTTCTCTCTCCTTTCATTTCTGTCTCCCCTTGTTTTATTTGCGTTTTTGTGGGGGTGGGTGTGGGTTCAAATTATAGTCCTCAACCTCCTCTGCCTTATGCTCCAGCCTGTTATTGAGCTCGAAAAGGCCCTCGAAGACCGAAAGGGCATTTATTTTTATCCAGATTTGCTCATTTAGGGCCCTTGTTTACTGAAATCTCACAAACATCTGGACTTATTTTTCCGGCTCTAGCAGGGTCACAAGTACTCAGTAGACAGCATTCCTAGTGCTCTTTGGTCACAGCTTGTGTGTTTTCAGAAAATGAAGACATTAAAAGGACTTTCTCTGATCCATCTGAATTACCTGCTGGAGCCAGAGAATTACACTTCCCGTGTGGACAACAGTTGGCAGAGCGAGGGTTTTTAAAGCTGAGCAAAGAGAAGAAAGGTTTGCTAGGCTGACAAGCCACAAGTTCATGGGCTTTGGCAACTACTGCACTTGTTCATTAATTTATTAATTGTGCAGTGCTGGGATCAATCCCAGGGAACCGCATGCATCTGAAAAATAAGCCACAGCCTTTCCCTAATTCAGCCCAAGGTGCCTGGGGAAGAGACAGTATTTTTGTATCTGCTTTTGCAAAACGCACTGTCCTGAGCAGAAAATCCCAGGCACTAAGTTCACCTTGAACAGGGGTGGGACCCTGAGCACCTTGCCGGCCCACTTTCTAGCAGGGCTCTCCAACACCCCCTCACCTAAGTGCCTGACTCTCAGTGCCCTCATTTCTGTTCTTCCTTCTTCCCCACCCACAATACTGTCAGGTCCTTCCGAGGATGTTCTTATTCCTCAAGGCTCATTGCAAACACCTTCCTGAAACCTTTCCTGACACTGTACCCAGTAAAAATCAGTCATTTCTTAACTGTTATAACACAACAGCTTGCCATGTATGTAACCATGTGTGTCTGTGTCCCTAGATTTCGAGCTCTTGGGGGTTAAACACCCTCCACTGTCACACCCACAGCCAGTGCTCCCTAACCACTGCCCACACCACCTTGGTGCTGTGCAGAAATATGGGAAAAATGGGCCAGGGATTTAGCTCAGTGGTTCTGCTGCCTGCCTCGCAAGCACAAGGTCCAGAGTTCGATGCCTCGTACAAAAAAAAAAAAAGGAAACATGGGAAAAAGGAAACAAAGCAGCAAGTTGCCCCTTGTGGAGGGTAGAGGGGGCCAGAAGTGACCAATGGTAAGGGGCTGGGGCTGGGGATTTAGCTCAGTGGTTCCGCCGCCTGCCTTGAAAGCACAAGGACCCGAGTTTGATCCCCGGTACCAAAAAAAAAATATTAAGGGGCTGGAGGAGAGGGAAGAATTTGAATCATTTACAACCTAAATGTTCTTTATTTGGATGTCAAATATGGAAGGGCAGACAACCCAGCAGAATGACGTAAAGGACCTGGGTGACAGGGGGAGGTGTCTGTGCTAACCTGGTCCCTGAGGTTTGCCCTGGGGACACTGCCGAGCTGTTGCTCTAACACAGGGTTCTCACTGAGTGGAAATGACAGCACACAGGCAGAAAATGCCCCTGGAGCTTGGAGGAAAGGTGGGGCTAGGCAGAGGAGCTGACCAGGGCATTTGTTTCTGGTGAAATAGCAAGAGAAATATTTCTCACAGAATAAAAATCAAATGAACAAGAAGCAGTTACAGAAGCTGGTCACATCTGAAGACCTGGCATCAATTCCCCCTCTTCTGGCTGGACCGGGGGCAAATTCCTACACACAACGCCATCAGGAAACCAAATGGAGGGTCCCCTCTGGCACTGGCAGGAAGACAGGACTTTGACAGGAGGAAAGATGAGTAACTTGGATGGCCCATTGAGCATCTGAGGGGAGAAAGAACACCATGGTGAGGTGGTGAGCTGGTGACTGTGGGTAAGATCCACAGAACCGAGCTGGGCGTGGTGGCACACGCCTGTAATCCCAGCACTCAGGAGGCTGGGGAGGCGCCTGCAGGGTGTTCAAGGCCAGCCTGAACTACAGAGCAAGACCCTGTCTCAAAAAAGATCTACAGAACCAAATATATGCCTCCTTGTTAAGGCAGGAGACTAATACAAGCGAGTGGACCCCATAGGGGAGGCTGGCTGGGCAGTGACGGGAGGAGAGAGCAGCCCGGGAGCCCATGTTCTAGTGCTGTGATCCTTACCTATTAGAAAGAGGGGGCAGAAAAAAGCCCAAGTACCCCTTGAAAGAAAGCACTGTGCAGACAAAGGTTAAAGGAGACATGCAGACATTTTATTCTGACGTGTCACCATGAGAATGTCCACGTTCCAAAAGTTCAAATAAAAATAGAATTTTACAAATTAAAAAAAATACAATTTATATACACAGTGGAATTAGCTAACATTACCATATAAATGAACAGTGCAAACAGAAAGGAGGAAGCTACACTGCAGAAATGACTGAGGCCCAAAGAGCAGAGGGCAACAGTGCTGTCAATGCCCCTGTGTCCTGGGGCCTTGAGGGCCTTTCCTGCAGCTCTCTTGGTCCCAAGGGCCCTGTCAGTGCGCCAGTCTGCACCAGAACTGTTATGTGTATGGCTGAGTTCAGCAAGCATCCTGTCTACCCCGGAGCTGTTAGTTTAACAAGATCATGAGCGGATCAACCCGAAAAGCACAGTCTCCTCCGCCAGGACTAGGACCCGGCTCCCAAGGCCACTTCCAGGTCCCCGGACACAGCAATCTGGAGATGACACACAGAAAACCACCTCCAGCCGACCTGACTCCCCTCCATGGATCTGTGCTTTTTCGAGGTGCCACAGCCCTGGGGGTGGAGGGAGTGGCTGGACAGGAAGCCGGGGAGCGAGGCGCAGTCATAGGTCACGAGTGGAAGAGGGGTCGTCTTTGGGCTTTTCTGGAAAGGGCAGGTGCCCATGGGAGGAGCAGGCTGAGGCCTGGCTCAGGTCCCCCTTGGTGGCCATCCAGTCGCTGCAGGGAGGGCACTTGCATTCTACCGTCTATTTCTGGGCTAAACTGGTGGTGACTCAAACACAACAGGATATGCACGAGGGATGAATTCCAACAACGCTGGCCCGGGCAGCCACGAGGCAGGCGGCTGGCAACCTCGGGCTCTCAAAGCCAGGGGCCAGGCTGGGCCTTTGCTCTGCCTATCAGTGACAGCTGGGAAGAGGGGAGGAAGTTCCTGCGATAGGCAGTCACACCATTCGCCTGGCTTATGCAACTGGTTTCCTTTTTAGTTCTGCGGTACCAGGGCTGGAACCCAAGGTCTCGAATATGCCAGGAAAGCACTCTACCACTGAGCTGCACCACCAGCCCCTTTCCTTTGTTCCTAAGATAATTCTTGCTAAATTGCCCAGGCTGGCTTGGAGCTCTCCATCCTCCTGCCTCAGCCTCCAGAATACCTGGGATTAAAGGCGTGTGCCATGGTGCCTGGCAACTGGTCTCCCTCTTTATAAAATGAAGAAACAACAGCAGTCGAGCTCCGAATGGTGCTATAAAATGAAGCGGCAGCTAGCTGAACACAATCCCACGAACAGGGTTATGACTTCCTGATCTATCCACTGGGAGCATCACCCCAATTCACAAGTCAGGAGCACCTAGAGAAGCTGCACAATGTATAAATGAGTCATTTTGGTCAAAAAGATAAGTGGGGTGGGGGGCAGGACCATGGGGACCCCGCATCAGCCCTTCCCCGGTGTGGATGATTCCCTGGGGTGCACTGAGCACAAGGTGCCCACTCACCTGGCCAGGTCTGACCCCGGGCTTGGGCTGCAAGAACCCAGGCCCAGGCCGAGGCCAGAAGAGACTTCATGGGTTCAAAACCCTAAATGCAAATGACGCCACCTGAGACCCCAAGAACAACTGCTGTGGGGACAGCCAGTGGGAGCTCTGCTGACACCCAGACCGGGGAAGATGAGCGCAAAAGTGCTCCCAGGACTCCGCCAGGCACGTGCTCACAAGGGACCTCAGCCCGAGAAGGGCACCGCCTGAGGCCGGCCGGGGCTGGCGTGTGTGTGACTCTGCCGTGCTCAGTGCTGGACCTCCAAGCTGCCCGACCCAGCACCAGCGGCCCTGGAGACACAGCTGAAGCTCCTGTCTCTGAGCCCTGGGGGGATGGGGTGGTGGCCAACAGGGAAGAGATGGCTATGAAAGGAGACTCTTTCTTTCTTGAAGAAGCCACCACTTTTCCCTACATGTGCCTTTGAGTGGCCTGGCCCAGGATGAACTCTTGCCAGCTGGTAAGATGATCCCATTCCCCAGGGCTCAGGGAAGCGGTTCCGCCTCAAGCTGCCCTGCTTTGGGTGAACTCTGGAGGCGAGGCCAAGACTGAGCTGTGGCTGTCTCCCAGGAAGATAGAAACACAAACTGAGGAAGGGGCTCAGTCTCAGAGGGGAGCGGATCAAGGTGGATGGGAAGACGCAGTCTGACCCTGCGACTGGATTTCGCACTCACAGATTATTCATGGGATTTTAACGCTTTGTTCTTCGGGCGGGCTCCAAGGAGACTCAAACACAGGCGCGCGCCCAGGAAGCAAGTACATCCCTCTGGATGGCCTGGAGAAGGCGGGAGTCCAGGAAGGCAGCCTCCCTGAGGGGAAGCTTCTCAGTGTCCGAGTCCTACACCTAGTGACGAACTTGACTCTGCAACTGGTCTCAGCCGAGCCTCTCCCAGAGCGGTGAAGACAACCGCTGGGCTCCCCAAGAAAGCAGCAAAGAGGGGCGCAGCCTGGCTGCCGCCACTGCCCTGGTCTCGGGATCCCGGGCGGGGCTGTGCCAACACCAGATGTGGGGACACTGGGAGCAGGGAGTGGGTACTTGCTGAGCAGTTCAGAGAAGTCCCCACTCTGATGGTCTAACACCATTCCCAGCGCCTCTGACCAGCAAGCTCGACGATTCCAGGCTTTCCGAGGATGCGGGTGCCTGTGAACCTTCGTGCCCTGGGACAGCACGGTCCCTGGCGGCCACAGTGTGAGCCGGGGGTGGCAGGTGGGCGTCAGAGGGTCTGGTAGTGCTGCCGTAGCCGCCCCTGCAGGAACTCGTGTGTCAGGCTGTGCCGCGTGATGATCCCCACGATCTGGGACAAGGAGAAAAGATTGCGTCACCCGGAGGACAGACCCACTGGCCAGAAAGGGCCTGGCCTGGTCGGTCTGACACAAGGAGGTGGAGTCGGGGCCGGACACGTCAGGATTGAGAAGACTCTCCTCACGGCTCCCTCCTAGGGGAGGACGGGGCAGGTAACCAGGCTCAGAGGCTGGAGGCCAGGGGACACGCACAGCTCTGGTAGGGTTTCAGTGGGCCCGGCTCACATGTGACCTGGCGTGCCTTTAACAGGGCACATGCTGCTGCTTCCGGTCCTCATCACACCCTGCTGGCCTCGCAGGTGTTTGGAAGAGGTGGGAACCCCGAGGCTTCGGAGCCTGTGAACTGGCACACCTTACTGTCCTCGTCTGGGACAGCTACTCCTGAGAGTCGTTTCACACCATTCCTTACAGTAGCTTCCGTCACTGATGGCGGGGCCCAAGGCCACAGCGCAAAGCTTCAGAACTGGCCGGAAGAGCTGGCAGTTTTACCTCAAGGAACGCAGTTTCATCGACATTAAACTCACATCACAGCACGCTGTGCGAGGCTCACCTGTATGACACCTTCCTTGACAAGGCCATTAGTTCTTGTTAGGCCATTTGGTGACACGTACCAGAAGCCTCCAAAAGGGAGGCTCAAGACAGCACCCTGGGGCCGTGGGTGCAGCTCTGCGTCAGAGCCCTTGTCCAGCAGCACGAGGCCTTTGGTTCCATTCCCAGCTCCACAAAGGCAAAAAAGAAAAGCTAACACCATAGGCAGAGGTTTTCTGCTGAGGACAGTCGTTTCCCAGAGTGAAAAATCGGCATAAAACTGGACATGAGCTCGCTGGATGCAAAGGACTGAAAGGCTGAAAAGCTGATGTGGACCTATGCAGGGCAGGGATGAGGGTTTGCTTGTTTCACCATCTGTTTTCTTATTTTTCTCGATGAAAAAAAAATAGTAGTTATATAATAAGGGGAAAATGGAGTTCTAAAAAGGCATAACAGAAAGCTGGCAGCAATCATTACTGGGTGTCTGTCCTATCTTTTAAAACGCTCCAGTGTCTGGCTTGAAGTGCTGTCATTTACTGTTCTGAGTCCCAGTGACAGGAGGGGAATGAGGAACACGGACTGAGGTCGCAGGGAAGGGAGGCGGGTGGCCTTGTGATAGGAATGCTCTGAGCCAGTCTGAGGCAGGAAGGGCACCATGGCGCCCTCTGCCGGCCACGTGCGCAGGAAAGGGGGCACAGAGGGAGAGTGGGACGGCTGCCAGGCGGGCTGTGCGCGGAGCCTCCCTGTGGGATTGAGCAAGGGGACCCCACAGCACTCGGGCCGGCCGAGGGCGCTCTCTCAAAGGCGGGTGTGTGGACCACAGTGGCAGGGGCCTGGGTTGTGCAGGACTCACCTCCCCGACCGCATTCACCACGGGCAGGTGCCGCAGGCCCATCGTTCTGAACAGGTTGAAGACTTGGGATACGTGGGTGTTTGGGGACACAGTGAAAGGCGAAGGGTTCATGTACGGGGTGACATCCTGTAAAGGGACAGCGAGAGTCACCTTCAGCCTGTATGCAAGAGACAGGACCAGGCAGCGTGGGCCCAGGGCCAGCCCCTCACCACGATCATCCGTGGGTTGAGCAGTGTGAGGTCCAGGTCGTGGATGTCGGGGTATCGGGGGTAATCCTCGGCCATCTCGGCGTAGGACAGGCGCGGCTGGCTGGCACTCTGCAATCGCAACCAAGACAGGCTGCTGGCACCAGGGCCACATGGACCCCTGTCCCTCTGACCAGCCAGGTCCCTACCTAGGGGGCGGGGTGCACAACAGAGCCCCAGCAGCGGCTCTGCAGCCAAAGCCGGTTCTGGCTGTCGTCTAGCTGGTCACCCCTGAGCTCTGAACTTCCCTTCCTGCAGCTGTGACACTGAAATGGGTCTTCCGAGGTTTGAATGAGATAGCATTAGTGGATGGGGGCAGCTGTGGGCTGCAGTGTGTCCTGGAATACCCAGGTTCTAGGACTGTACCAGCAGTGAACTTGCTGGAAGCAGGGTCTCTCCACATGCAACTGGGTTAAGGCAAGGTCACAATGGACGAGGGTGGCCCTAAATCCAATGACAGATGTCATTACAAAACAGGGAGAATGCAAGTGATAACTGAGGAAGAACTGGAGCGATGTGGCTATGGCCAAGGAATGCTGAGCACTATAGCTGCCACAGGGAGTAGGCAGAGGCAGGCTGATTCCTCCCAGGGCCATCAGAGAGGGCAGGACCCTGCTGCCACCTGCATTTTGTACTTCTGGCCTTAAACTCTGAAAGTCACAGGGTTTAGGGTGATTTGAAACAGCACCACAGGACAGAAATGCACAAGCTCTGTCACTGTTCCTCCACTCCAGGCTCCAAGGTTTCCAGCCATTCTCACTGCTGCCCACCATGGGCAGGGGCTAGCACCACAGGCTCCCAGGCTGGGCGCAGGGATCACAGGCGCTGGCCACTGCCCTACCCCATCTCCACGCTGCTCGGCCCCTGCACAGAGCTGTCACTGTCACACTGGTCCACGCCTGCTCGGCAGCCCCTAAACCTTCGCCTTCACGGGGCTGGGGGCTGGGCCGGACAAGCCCTGCAGGATCCAGCCCATGTCACCCCTTCCACCCCCAGCAGAGCCTTGGCAGCCCCAGGGCCAGGGCCCCGCCTGTAAGAGCCGGTCGGGAGCGGGCCTCGGGGCAGCTGTCACAGCCTCCCTAGAGACAGAGTGCGCGGGGATGGTCTCAAGTGGCCCAGGGGCTACTCTGAACAACAGCCCAAAACCCAAATGAAGAAAAGAAGGGCTAAAAAAACAAGAAAAGAAGGGCTGGGGGTTTAGCTCAGTGGTTCTGCCGTCCGCCTTGCAAGCATAAGGACCCGAGTTCGATCCCCGGTACCAGAACAAAAAAAACCAAATGAAGAAAAGAACGACAGTAGGGCTGACGGGAAGGGTGGTGTTTCTTTCAAGGTGCCTAAGAAGTTCCTCTGCACCAGCAACTGAAATCCAGGAGCAGAGCGAACAGCTGGCGGGGGGACAGGACAGGGGCGGAGGGCACCAGGCTCCCCATGCCTCCGGTCACCACTGCAGCACAGGGGACAAGGACAGGAGGCGGCCGTGGCACGCGCCAGCAGCCAGTGGGCACGGAGCCCTGGAGAGGCGCCCGTCCTGCCCTGGCCGAAGCGCAGGGCTGTTCACCCCCGGCCGCCCGTTCCCCGGAGCCCGGGCAGCAGCCTCACCGACTGGCTCTCGGAGTAGCAGACACCGCGCACCAGCAGGGTGACAAGCTGTGAGCGCAGGACGAGGCCGTGGAAGGTGAGAGGGCGGAAGCGCTCCTCCATGGTCCAGTCTTCGCTCGGGGACTGGTCGGGGTACAGGTTGGGGTAGGGGGTGTATCTGTTACACAGAAACCAGAAGCTGCCTAGCACAGCCAAGCGAGGGCAGCCCGCGTCCCCTCCCCGGGGCCCGCCAGCCCGGGCGCCTCGGGCCGCACCTGCGCTCCAGCATCTGCTGCAGGAGGTCCTCCTTCTCGGCCGGCTCCTCGGGGGCCGCGTGCTCGTCGCACATGTTGCGCAGCTCACTTGACGGGTAGGACTTCATGGACTGGCTCCGCTTGCGCTGCTCGCCGGCCCGAGTGAGGATGCTGGACTTCTGCGGGTGGAGCGGGGACAGCGACAGCTTCTACAGGGCACCCACGGCAGCACTGCTGGGCGGAGGGCCCAGGAGCAAGAAGGGCCAAAGCACCTGCCCACGGGACTGTGCGGGACTCTGGCTCAGGCCTTGAAGTCACCGGCAGAGTCCGAGGCCTTGGTGGCAGACGCGATGGTCTGTCCAGGAGCCTTTGCCCTCTCTGTGGCACTGGGGGCTGAACCCGAGGCCTTGTACACACTGAGGAAGGGCTCCACCCCCGAGCTGCACCCCAGCCTGACTGGTTTCTCACGTCCCAGCATTCTGCTCCTTCGCTTTGGGAACAGCAGCTTGACTCTCCACAGGGAACGACTCCTCTCCCGTCCTGAGATACATGTGGCAGCCCCTCCCAAAGCCACCACAGCCGAGGGCCACATGGAGCCACACCAAGTGAGGCACCGGGCTCCCCCTCCCCCTTCCTTCTAAGAATAACAGACCAGGCTGGGGATTTAGCTCAGTGGTTCCGACACCCGCCTCACAAGCACAAGGTCCCGAGTTCGGTCCCCAGTACCAAAAAAAAAAAGAATGACAGAGACCAGCTGTGTCCATCCTGCTGGGACCCCGAGGGCGCCTGAGCACTCGCAGAGCTGGTTCCCTGGCCCACGTGGCAGTCCCTGCGCTCCGAAGGAATCCCTGCTGTCTTCAGCAGGCCCAAGCCCCCTGGGCCGCTGGCGGCGCCAGAGGCCTCTGCCCCCACTCGAGTCAGTCAGCAGGACAGGTGCCAACCTGACCTTCCTTCCCCACACTCTGCATGGCAAGGCGAGAACGCACGCCTGTCCCACAGCCCGGTCAAGTCCCCGGCACTGTCACATCTGCACTCTGTCACATCGTGGGGACAGCGCAGGTCTTCCTAGAGCCATCCTCGTCCACCCAGGTGGGCCCTGAGGGCCTCCCAGCTGCCCTGCCCTGACCCCCCGCTCCCTCTACCTTGAACTTGATGTTGTTGCTGATGAGCTGGTTGCCCTTCATGAACTCCTTCTCGTTGCCCCGGTTCTCGGTGACCACGGGGAAGGCGTGATGGACCGTGGTGCGCAGGATACTAACCAGAGACTGGATGCGCGTGTGCGGGTACACGTAGGTCAGGTTGGGCTCCATGATGTCGCTGGCTCTCAGCCTGGGGAGGGGAAACCGTCCAGCCTTTCGAGGGCCACTGCCCCAGGTACAAGCGTGACAGGCTGCTGGAGCGACCAGAACCAGTGGGCTCCTCTGTAATCCTGTCCCATCTCCACAGGCTGTTCTGACACCAGGGTCGCCCTCCTGCTGTCACACTGGTGGGCCTTTACTTATCCCATGGCTCCCTACCAACGTCCCCTCACCACACACCCCGTGAGCGTGCCGGGTGGCATCCTCTCTGGTACTCCAGGGCACAGTCTCACCAGTGAAACGATAATTAAAGGAAATTTAACAACCCATCTCCAGGTCCTTCTACATCAAGTCACAGCTCACAAAGCAAATCCGGCCCCATACAGTATCTGTGGCTGCTTTTCTGCCACAAGAGTAAAAATGTCTGCTATGTGGCCCTTTGCAGACCCTGCAACCCCAAAGGGCCTGCCGACACCCAGGGCGGAGGCCAGCATAGTGTGGATCATGAGGCGGGCACCTGTGATGATGGCAATCACTGGTGACAGGTGACATTCAGAAGGGGGAGCGTGGAGTGGGCAGGTCTCGCTCTGGGCCTCAGTATGCACTTCGTGTAAACAATCATGTCACACATGATCCAGACTCTACTTCATACTGAACCAGACTGCCACATGACCCAGACACTCATGGAAGGCCCGGCTGTCCCTGAGCTCCCAGCCTCCTGAACGCTCAACATTCCCAAGCACGCAAGGGAACAATGTGCCTGCTTCTTTTAACCCAAGAAGCTGGAGCTGCTGCATCCCACGCTAACTCCTGCATTCCTTCAGCCCTGAAGCTAGACATTCTGATACGGGCACGAAAGAAACAGGGGACTTACTTGTCCATTTCCACCTCCGTCTCCCATTCCAGAAGCGGCACGCCTCGCAGGCCCACATGGATATCATAAATGCCCTTATTGAAAAAGTCCCCTGTCCATTTGGCCACCTGAAACATAGAGCGGAAGCCTGACAAGCGAGAGGGCTCCGGAGTGAACTGGGCCCTAGACCCAGAGCCTGGAAGGAAAGTGCTCACCATCAGGGTGACCATGATAGGGAGCCCATAGGTGATCTCGTTGGTGGACTCGATCAGGATGATGGTGAGACTGATGGTCATGCGTACGACCCCGCCCAGGAAAGCTGCAGCGCCAATCAGCGCAAAGGTCCCCGAATAGATGTGGCCCAGTCCAATGTAGCTGGTGAAGGAACAAACCAGGAAGGTGGCTAGAAACATCTGGGTGGGCTGAGTGGCAGGGTGCACGGGGGTGAACCACCAGCTTAAACACTGCATGTGCACATATATGCATGGATAGGCACACATGCTTGCACACCCACGCACATGCACACACACACACACACACACACACACACACACTGTACCTTTTTAGGACATTGGCAACTAAACGTCCAAAAGCAGCTCCACACAGCAGCGAAGGTACAAAAAGCCCACTTGGAACCGAAACACCGTAAGTCCAACAGGCAAGCAGAAAATAGAGGATGAAAAACAAGGCCAAGGTGATAGGGCTGAATGTCCCTGCAAGGTAAGAACTGATCTGAGTCCTACCAGAGGCCTGCTGTGTCTCTGCAGACCAGCTCGGCCCCACCAGGTCCTTCCCGCCCCAGCCCGCTCCCCTTCTGACACTGGAGGCAGAGGCCCTGCTGTCCAGGTCAGCAGCACAGAGGGAGTCCTGTTCTTGCTTGGAATGAAGGACAAGCCTGGCCGAGAGGGAGCCGAAGCCCATGCCCCAGGGGTGGGCACTGCACACACTCACCATCCTGGTGGAAGAGCTGGAGGATGGCAGACTCTTGGGAATTGAAGAAGAGCGTGGCCATGTCATTGTAGGTGTCATTGGGACAGAAGAAGGTCTTGATACTGGAATTCACATCTTCTGATGTAACCTACGAAGCAGGATCACAAAGTCAGTAAAGGGCATGGGACCGGTACACTCCTGAGTCTCTGAGGGGGATGGTTCCAGCAAGGACAAGAAGCCTGCCAGACACCTTTGCCTGCAGATCCAACAGGCAGCAAAAATTGGCCAACTGTGAAGCTGAATTCTTTGCATTTTGGATGCAGAGTGAAGAATCAGGAAAAAGGCCTTTGTTCATCCACACTCATAACCAAAATGTAACTACACCATGGTTCACCACGGATGGGGCTCTGCTTCCTCTTGGCAATGATTTTGTAAATGATGTTGCTAGGAGCCTCGCCCAAGAGCCACAGGGACGGTGGGAAGATGAGGCAGGTTAGAGACAGATGCCCAGGGAGGAGAGTCCAGGCCACCACTTGACTCAAAGGCCCAAATGAAAACAGCCTTTGCTATGGATTTCCTCCAAAAGAAACCCATCTTGGCCGGAAGCCTGACAGCAGACAGCAGCCCGTCACCCAGTCTGGAGGACAGAACCCAGACAGGAGGTTTCGCTCTCATTCAGAGCAGGATAAGACTTGGTTTAGGAAAGGGTCCCCTGGTGGCAGGACCTGGCATAGGAGAAATGTGCGCAGGGCCCTAGCAGCTCAGAGCCAAGCCCACAACTTATTGGTAAGCAGTAAACGCAGGGCAGGCTCTCCCAAGCCATGTCTGCAGGACATCAGTGGGGAAAGTCCCCTGATGAGAAGCACTGAAAAGCACTGGAGCACTTCCTGGAAACCGGTGTGTCTGATAACGCAGAGCACAGACTCAAAAATCCAACGGCTTTCACTGACTGCCACATGCTAGTGACCTTGGGAAGGTGTTTCACTGTGTAACCCTTCAGCTTCCTCATCTGTAACGTGGGGACAACCACGACCCTCATGCTGCACATGGTGGCCAAGGATCTTGAAGACCTCATTTGCCCAGGGACAAGATCACCACCCAGCATGTGTGGGAAGGGTTCAGTGAGGTGACTGTGAGGTGCCTGAGGAAGATCTGGCACAGTAAGTGTGCCAAACAATCCCAACACTCACTGGAACATTTCAGGTTCCAGGATGTTCTGTATTAGAGAAATATATTTTAAGCTGGGCATGGTGACACATGACTACAATCCCTGCTACTTGGAAGGCTGAGGCAGAAGGATCATAAGTTTGAGGCTAGCCTGGGCAATTTAGCAAGACTTTGTCTCCAAGTTTAAAGGGCTGGGGATGTAACTCAGTGGTAAAGCACTTGTCTAGCATGTGTGATGCCCTTGGTTCATTCCCCAGCACCACAAAAAAGAAAAAAAAAGCCTATTTAATTCTGGTTAACCTATCTGACCACACAATGCTTTTCATTTGTGTCTGAACCATATATATCACTGTTCTATAGCAATACAGTTCAAAAATACGAGGTCTGGCAATGAGGCAGCCTTGAGAATAACTAGTAACTGGGGTCAGTAAACTTCTTCCATCAAGAACCAGACAGTAGGGCCAGAGATTTAGCTCAGTGGTTCTGGTGCCTGCCTTGCAAGTGCAAGGTCCTGAGTTCGTTCCCAGTACCGCAAAAAAAAAAAAAAGATGGTAAACATCACAGACTCTGCCGACCACAGGCAGCCCTCATGGCATCTTTTTAACACACTCCAGGTCTTCATGGACTGCTCCTGTGGGCCCTCAGAGGTGGCCCTTCAAGACAAGGGACCAGAGGGGCACTGACCAATCCAAGTGGCTGCTTAGGAACAACAAGAAGACAGAGTACAGGGAAGATGCTCGCCAGCCTCACTCCAGCAGCTGGACCCCAAGGTGGCTCTGTTCACCAGAACAGGCCCCCTGCCAAGGGACAGGGTCAGTCATGGAGGTGGACATGACTGAGGGCACCCAAGCGCATCCTCTCGGGTGAAAGATGACTACATGTTCCTGTGCCTCTCCGCAACCTGCTGTGGGCATGTGGAGGTGACCTGACACACCTAGCAGCTCTGAGCAGCGGCCATTTCTGGGTGGAGGATAAAGTAGCAGATGCACTGGGGTTACCTGGAGCTGGAACGAGCCATTACTGATCTGACTCGAAGAGGACATCTGCCGGCATTCTCCTAGCACCATCGAAGCCACGAATACCACCACGGTGGTTACCAGTGACACCAACAGGCTCTCCAGGACTCTAGGAAGCAGAGCACAGCTGTCACAATGCAATAAACAGATGCCAGGTCTTGAGCACTCAAAAACACACTCCACTGAGCCCCACCCTCCTTTCTGCAAAGGGCACTCCCAGCAGCAATCAGTCAGCATGCATGTGCACAGTCATCAGATCTGCTGTAATCCCACACCCTGGGTGTAAAGTGTGGGTGGTTTATTGACTTCGTATCAGTCAAGTGGGCTGCCTCATCCACATATCTCTCTCAAGGAATGAATGGGCCTCCATACTAAGTCCTGGGGCAGGAGCAGCCCACAACAGCCAGCCCCTCAGCAGGGCAGCACTGGCCCTCCTGGCAGGTCAGCAGGTGTGTGTTTATCTCCCAGAAGCTGGAAGTCAGCTCGACTCAGCCTTTCAGCCCGTCTGATGAGCAGCAGAGACTTAGGTCCCTGTTCCCAGCCTTAGACTACCAATCAAAGCTGGTGCAAAAGGAGGGTCTGCTTGTGTGATCGTCTTCCTCAGGAGAGACAGCCGGGCCCACAGTCTACTTGGGGTGCCACAGCAGGCTGGGGGAGGCGACTGCACAGATACCTGACAAGCTTAGGTTTCGGGTGCACATTTCGCATACGGTACTTTGCAAGCCTCTTGTTCAGACAGTTGAATGTGGCTCCTAGGAGGCCCCCAATGACCCCCATCATGACGAAGAAACCCAAATCCATAGCAGTCCAGAGATGACATTTTTTATCAGAGTCAGAGCACTGAGAGAAGGGAGCAGGGAGGGAGAGAGAAAAACCAGAGCAGCCATGAGCACAGGAAGGGACAGAAGAGGGGAAGACAGAAACAAGAGCTGGGGCTGCCTCCCCTTCTAAAGGAGTCCCGCTCCAGAGGGCGCAGCTGTCTGCAGAGACGGTACCGGCCCAGGTGCCCTGCAGCAGCGGCACCTGCCCTCTGTGAGCTCCTCGTCTGTGCTTTACGAGCAAGCGAGTCTCATGGGCCCGGTGTGGCATCTTGGGAGAAAGGACAAGGCATACCTTAAACTCGCCGAAGTTCAGCAATCCAGGGAGCTGGAAGGAACCCCAGCTTCCAAACTGAATTCCAGAACGGAAGAAGTTGAGGGTGAAGGTGGCAGACATGGAACAGAAGAGCTAGGGGACAGGCAACAAAAAAGAACACGTCTCACTGTCTCCTGAACAGTTTTTCCCAAAGCCCACTGCTCTCCCTAGAGACCTGCAAAGTCTGGCTGGGACACAGGGAAGGGCGAGCACTGTGGCAGAGGTGACCATTGCGGAAGAGGTACCTGGAGGGTGAGCAACTGCACCTTGGGCTCTGCCACGAGAGCCTGTTTATTGACACCTCCTCTGGCACAGACCCTGTGGCACCAGGAAGGGGAGCTGCATGAGGAGAACACATCACTCTGGGCGTGACAGGGATTCAAGTCCCAACCCTGTCACTCCTGCCTTAGGTGACAGCCAGCTTCACATTTTCCAGCTGGATGGCTGACAAGAAGTTTGGTGTGAGGTTTAATGTTTGTGGGGCGGGGAATACTGATATGAAGAGCAGAAAAGCCTAGTTTGGAGGTCACAGCTGCTATGGCAAAAGAAGTTCCCATCAAGTGGACCCTCCTGTCTCACCAAACAGTGGCAGGACAGACAAATTCCCAGTTCTGCCACCTGCCTCACAAGCGCAAGGTCCCAAGTTCGATCCCCGGCACCAAAAAAAAAAGAAGGGACAAATGTCCAGTTTAATTCTGGGTGTGGTTAGGCCTAGGACGTGACTTCCAATGATGTCTCCTCACCACTTTCCATGTGAGCCCTTGGTTCCAGAAGGATGAGCCCTCCTCTAGGCTGAACAAGGTACCCCCGATCGGGGCCCCGAAGGCCGCAGCAACTCCAGCAGCCGCCCCTGCTGATACGAAGTCTCGCTTGTCTCTGAGGAGAGAAGACAAAGTGAGAGATGGGCCCTGAGGCTCCAAAAGCAGCTTCTCACTTCCTTATTGTGAACATTTTAGGATCACAAAAGGACAGGTCTCCAGAGGCAGACTTGGCAGCACACACAGTTTACCTGCAGGCCAATGTACCCTGCATCTGAAATGCCCCCAAAGGCTTGTGTATTATTGGCCTGGAGCTCAGCCCATGGCACTGTTAGGAGGTGGTGGAACCTCTAGAAGGCAGGGCCTGGGGAGAGGAAGTTAGGTAATTTGGGGTGTGTCTCAGAGGAGATATTGGGACCCTACTCCCACCTCTTCCTGTTTCAATTCCTGCTCATGAGGTCAACAGGACTGAGACCCTCAAAACTGTAAGCCAAAATCAGCTTTTGTTTCTAAATTGATTTCTCTCAGGTACTCATTATAGTAACAAGAAGCTGACCAAGGCTGCCCAGGTGCAATGGCTCCCTGACCTGGGAGGCAGTGCTCCCTGTATCTGGTCACTCTTAACTTGGAGTCTCAGTCCCAAGCCTAGGGAGACAGATGGAAGAGTTCTTATAATCCCTGCTGGGCCTCGATCCTACCAAAGCTCTTCCAGAAAACCCCAGCATCAGCAAGACCATGTAAGCGCTTGCTGGCTTAACACAGAGGAACTGGTAAGCAATGATTTTCAGGGATATGAAGATGAAAAGGGCCCAAGATGCTGAACTGGGCCTCTGATCCCAAGGGCCCTCCCAACTATCCAGGTGAGTAACCTACAAGTCACAGGGCTGGAGAGTCCACTGGGAAGGGTGGTTTCCAGCCCAGAGATGCCCTAAGCAAGTAGATTATTTGGGGTAGGTTATTTGGGACTACAAAACACCTTCTTCTTTTTTTTTTTTTTTTTGGTAATAGGGGTCAAACTCGGGACCTTGCACCTGCAAGGCAGGGGGCGGAACCACTGAGCTAAATCCCCAGCCCCAAACACCTTCTTGATAATATACCCACCCGCACCCTTTCTTGGTTGGGTTTTTCAGTCTTGGACTTCATGACCTGAGATGCTTCTAGGCCTTATGACATGACAAAATAAAAGTCACAATGCCAACTTGGTCCTTTTGGTTCTTATTTTCAGAAGAAAAATGCAAAGCCCCCTGCACCCTACCTTCTGACACTCAGATTTTGCAAGTGGCCTGCTAAGCAGGGGCAACTACAAGCTAGGCTAGAGCAAGTACCGATCTGATTGGTAGTACATTAACTTTTTTTCCCTTGTGGTACTGGGGATTGAACCAAGGGCCTTCACATTGAGCTACATCCCTTCTCCTGTTTTTGTTGTTTTAAGACTGAGTCTTGCTAAGTTTCTAAATTGCCCAGGCTGAGCTCATACTGTGATCCTCCTGCCTTAGCCTCCCACAGTACCTCCATTACAGGTGTGGACCACCATTAGCCAGCATCGTTTTCTATTTTCCTAAGGACCAATTCCTATTGTTTCCATACCTGTCACTCCGGAAGTAGGGGAAGTTAAACTGAATCTTCCGTAAGGAGATGCTCTGAAACTAAGACAAGAAGAAGCACGTCAGAGAGAGGCCCACAAGGACCAAAGCTGCAGGAGCCCACAGCACTCGGGGGGGTGCCTTTGCTTGACCCACATAGGCAGATGTGCGGCAGGCAGGAAGTGTCCAGAATTGCCACCTGGAAGAAAGGAAGTTGCCTCCTTTGGGGGAACTTATTTTTCCTTCTCCCAAATTTCTAGGCCCTTTGAAAACTGCATTTTGTGCACAGGCAACAAGTGAGAAAGAAAAAGGGGAAAGAGCTGAGCAAGGACTGGAAGGAACTGAGAGCTGCTACACGAAGTGAAGCTGGCTCTGCTCAGGGGCTGTCAGAGAGCAAAGGCCCGACCAAGACCCACTTCTCAGTCAGCCCACAAAGCCTCACACCATGCTCCCCCATGCTTCACTTCTTTTGTCCTCCTGGCTCATTCCTGGGAGACCTGGCTAGGAGGCAGCATAGAGAGATGAAGATGCCTGGAAGAAGGAACCTTCTCCCCTTTGCCCCACAACTCACAGCAAGTCCCCTCGGCGGGAGAGGGAGGGAAACAGTGCCATGCAATGGCTCCCAGGGAACTGGGACTTCTCACGCTTGCAGCTAGGAGCCTGAGAAAGCCCTCAGAAAGGGAGCTTTGGGCTCCTAGGCGAGTTCCTCCAGCTATGAGCCCCAGCTCTCTCACCTGAGAACCAAACACCTCAGGTGGCCCTGAAGAAGACAGGAGTGGAACCTGCAGAATCCTGCAGGGAGATGCTGTCACAGTCACTGCGCCAGGCCAAGTGCAATCAGAGTAGAGCTGGGCTTAAGACGGTCTGGCTGGCGCTCCCAGCCCCTCTGGCAACTGGCTGCATGGAGATGACCCATGCCGTCCTCTGTGCGGGCACTTGGCAATGGCTGCAGAGCAGCAGGTGACTTTCATCTGCCTATGTCACATTTTTCCTCCATTCCTATTTCTGTATCTAGGACTCAGCAAGGCATCACTAAACCTCTGATGTCTAGGTTACGTGCTCTGCTGAGAGACAGATCACAAGGTTTTCTTAACCCAAATGGCACAGGCTCCAGAGTCATGTTAGGGTAGCCCCAAAGGGTTTCCTCAAATCCACACAGAGGCCTGTTCTCTGGCCCAGGCAGGAATCACCCTGAGGGATTCAGCCCCGGCCCAGCGGCCCTTACCTGAGGAAGGCCGGCTCCCACCACGGCCCCACTGTGGATCATGGGGCCCTCCTTCCCCACAAAGAGGCCTGGGACAGTGAGAAAGGGAGACAGCAGTCAGCACAGAGGCCTCTGGCTGAGGAGACCTTTGCTACAAACCTCTCTCTCAACCCACAGGCAAGCACAGGGCTAAGAGGAAGGTGGAACAAATCCCCACCAAACCATTTCCATTTAAAGTCCTGCTATGAGGTCTGCAAACCAGAGCCCAGACCCACTCCTTCCTTGCCTGTTACTGCACAGTCCTAGAGCTAAGAATGGCTTTTACATTCCTGAGTGGGCAACTCAATGGTTACCTAAGTACCTACACCATTTCCTTGATGCTGCTTCTTGGCCCATACAGCTGAAAAGATTTGCTATTTGGCTGTTTACACAGGAAGTGTGATGGGCCGGGGATTTAGCTCAGTGGTTCCGGTGCCTGTCTTGCAAGCGCAAGGTCCCAAGTTCAATCCCAACTACCGGAAAAAAAAAAAAAAAATGGTGTGACTTCTTTGCTAAAAGCCAACTCTGTAAACCAACTCAATGTGTGCAGTTTAAAACAATGGTGTGTTTGTTGGGTGTCTCTGAATGGCACCACACTAACAGGTCTGCATTTGAAAACTTACTGACAAAAAGAGCAGACGCTGCTTAGCGTGCTTAGCGCGGGCCCTTCAGTGGAATCTCATTTATACACAGGATGCCTCTGGTAGCCTCGCCCCTTGAGCCCCTGAAGAATAAGAGCTGAAAGACCTTCCTTACCGCCTGCCACACCGAAAAGCACTCCGAAGACTTTGCAGAGCAGGGTCCGGAGCCGGACAATTCCTGGCACCTTCACGCCATTCAGATAGCATTTGATCTCAGGGATCCCAGATCCTGCGGCCACCGGCTGAGGAGGACAGGAGACACAGCCATAAATTCAAACTCCGCTGGTTCTTCGCTTACCCTCAACAAGTGGGACAAGAACTCACCACCTTCAGCACCATCAGGGTCACCCGAATGTGTTCAGTCACAGGTGCTGGGCCCCACCCTGACTCCTGACTCAGTAGCGGGGGCCCCACAGGATCACTCACATTTCTGACAAGGACCCCAGAAGTTCGCCTAGTGTGGGAGCCCCATCCACCAGCAATGTGGTGTCCTGCTTCTAGAGGTCCTGACCTGTGGGTCTGCAAAGTCCCCCAGGTGCTTCAGTGTGCTGCCCAGGGGGAGAAGCCCATCCTGACCTAGAGCTTCCCTCGCTGACCTCGCTGCAGGCTACCAGAACCTTCACTTCCAGAAACCCCTCCAAGTGAGCAAGAGGGCCCTTCTGCTCCATCTAGATGTTTTTCCACATTCTGGAATTGGAGACGCAGAGATGAAGGGCAGGAGCCCCAAACTTCACACACAACAGGCGGGCAATTTCCAAAGCACCTCACCTCAATTAGGACAAGAAGGCTGGCCAAGAAGACAAAGGTCAGGTTAAAACCTAAGAGTTCGAGGAGGGACAGGGCGAGGCAGCCTTTTCGGCTGCACTCCTCCACCGCTGCAGAGCCTCGGTTAAGGAAAACGTGTTCTCAGCCATCCGGTAACATTTCCTCTTACCACTGGAAATGCTGTGGCTCCCCCTACTGCACAACTTCCTGTTCTCCATGGATAAAGAGTTTAAAGCTGCCCAAGATAATGTCTAAAATAGGAGCCACTTAAAACTATGCAATACCTGCCAGGTGTTCTGGTCTATGCCTGTAATCCCAGCACTTGGGAGGCTGAGGCAGGATTGCTGTGAGTTCAAGGCTAGCCTGGGCTACACAGTGAGTTTAAGGCCAGACAAAACTGTCTAAAAAAAAAAAAAGAAGGGGAAAAAATAAGAACCAAGATACATCATGTAAAGCTACAAATTCCCAATGATGAATGTCATTTTATTGTATACCTTAAATGTACCAATAAACTTAATGAAAAAAAACCAAACTGACAAAATAGTGTTTAAAAGGAAAGAAAAAGTTTATCCATATTCATCGGACCTAACAAAAGAAGTAGTAAGCTAGTTAAATGGTTAAA